GCTAAACAGCAACTTCTGTCTTGTGCTCCTGTAAACTAAGCAAAGGCCTGGGCACCCCTGGCTGGCAGGGACCAACTCAGAGCCACAAGCCTCCACACAGTCTCTCATGCTCACAACTCTGCTCCCTAGGGTAGACTGGTAGCCCTGGCCACCGTGCAAGAAAGAATCCTTCCCCAGAAATGGATTGAGGAAGGACCCGGAACATATCTGCACCCAAATGAGAAAGTCATTTCTCAGAAACTGCTCTGCCCAGACAGCCCGTAGGATACTGTGGTACTGAAGTCTTCCAGACATCTTCCTGGCCACTATCCGGGCCAGCCTTGTGATCTGGGATCCTCCCCACTACGTTATTTGAGATAACTTCCTCCTGCCAGCAACAGGCCAAGTGTCCTGGGCATTGGTGGCCAAGGACAGGCTTCAAAGGTTAAGTGGAAGGTGACCATCTTCAAAGGACCCTCAGACTTTCCAGAGAACATTGGCTCCCAGCCCCGACTTCAGGTCACTATTTCCTACAATTGAATCTGTGATAGCCTCGTGAGGGCAGGGACTGAGTCTGTCTAGTTCATTGCTGAGCCCCTGAGAGCTCCTAGCAGGGTACTGGAATACAGCCAGCACTCAATATTGACTTATTAAATTGATATTACAATAATGATGAAAATTAACAACATCAAGGCTGGGTACCAGTACAATAGAAAAAGCTTAAATTCTGGAATGAGAGATCTAAGTTCGGAGCCTTCCAGCAATAATATTTATTGGTCATGTGTGTGCCACTTTGTGGGCTCCTGGTATGGCACTGTATGATAAGCACTGGACTGCAAAACACAGGTCTGAGGTTCAAACCTACCAGCTGCTCCTCAGAAACTCTATTAAGGGTCACTATGAGTCGGAACCAATTCAATGACACTTAACAACAAAAAAGCCACTTTACCCTCTTCTCAGCCTCTGCTTTTTCATTTATTGTTGTTGTTAAGTGTCGTCGAGTCAGTTCCAACCCATAGCGACCCTGTATAGGGTTTCCGAGGAGCAGCTGGTGAGCTTGAACCGCCAACCTTGCAGTTCAAACAGCTATACAGGGAAAATAGTATTCATCTCGAAGGACTGTTGTGGCAATAGAAGAAATTTAAACATAAAACCTTTAGCACAGAATGTGGCAGAGAATATGGCTTTGTTTGAAGTCATCAAACATTTATATGCTATAATTCTTTCTGAGTGGCAGACGCGATTCAAACATGGCTAAAATCCCAGATCACAATCAGTTCATTTAAATTCTTAGAATAATCCTTTGAAGTTGAATCCATTTTAACCCCATTTGACAGTTGAGGAAGTTGAGGCACAGAGTCACGATTCACATCAGTTCTAGGGTCCACACTTTTAATTGTGACCCATCTCTGCCTCTATAGCAAGCAGTCAATGAACAGTAGTTCCTGTCCCCTTGGTTTGATCATGGAGGATACTTGATCACATTGCCAGACTGGGGTTTTCAGTTGCTACAGAAACATCTTCAAGGGTTTCCATGACTGAATGCTTAGTTTTGTTTCATTTTAATTCCTGCTCCTCTGAAATCCAATTTCAGATAAGTTTGTTGATCAAGAACCTCTCTTCCATCTTGACTTCCTATCATCTCTTCTCCACCATCTACATGAGAAAGAGAAACCTCTAGGTCCACACACACACACAAAAAAAAAAACCTTAAGAAAGGAAATGAAAGATCACAGAGAAGAGTGCTCACTCATTTAGGCTACTACACACTCTTAGGAGCAGTCCAAAGGAGGGTTCATTTCTACTCATCCATAAAAACAACCACTTACACATATGGGTGCCCGAGGCAGAGGCAATCTATCCAAATGGAGACCACCTATATCAAGTCTCAAGTTCTGCAGACAGAGAGAATAAAGCTATCTCCTCTAATGGGCCATACCTCATTAGAAAGAGAGTTTTCCCTGCTATAAGACAGTATTTGCCCTATTGCCTACCATGAAGGAAATCTCATTACCCAGATAAATCAGCGCTGCACTTGACCTTGCTTCTTCATGGCTCAGGATTAGCAACATCATGATGCACTCTACAAATGCTCAGAAATATTGGAAAAACCCTCTCAAGTCAAAAAAGATTTGGTATTTCACTAAAAGGCATTTGTATTATTTTGATTTTACTACACGGAATCCAAAATGCTTTCATTTTTAAAACCCCTAGAGACAAAGTGTCCTCTTAGGACCTTAAGAAATCACCAAAGCCTGGTGTGGTTTATGTCCTTATTCAACTGTGGTTAGATGAAGAGCAGCCAGAAGCCAAAGAACAGTAATTCTGGGTCCACACTCCTCTCATGATTTTCCTCAAGTGGCTGGGGTCCCACTGTGAAGACTCCCAAATCAACCTCTCAGCCTCAAAATCACAATACAAGTCATGGGCAGATCACAGGACGCAGAGCAGTTCCTCTGATAGGGTCCAGTCCTGCTAGACCTCATGCTTCCCTTCCAAAGTTGCCAGAGAAGCACAGCTTTCCTGGCTTGGCTAATGAGAGGGGGCTGAGTGGGATGTTTTCTCCAGGAGGTGAGGGTGGCTGCGGAATTTCTGCAGCAAATGCCATCTCCTGTACCCCCCACTAGGATACACAATCCTGCGCCCTGGGCTGTCTACTCAACATGACCAAACCAACAGTGAACAGAACTACCATTCCCCCAAATGAGCTGTAATTCCCAATGTTGCTTGCTCAAAAGGGCTGCCTTGTTTTCAGTCTGGTTGGTCACCAGCAACAGTCAGTAGGTACGGTGCTGATTTAAGAGAAAGAAGTCCATACATCAGGAACAAGAGCACACAGGGAGCATTCGGAATATGAGTGTCACTGGGAATTAAAGACATGCTCATACAACAGGCACATATTTGTCAAATGATACACAAAAATATAGTATCATGAAATATACAGGTCTCTAAGGACATCAGCAACTTGCTCCTCTTGATTTATTGAGGAGAATACTCAGACTCCAGACCAAGGGTAGGAATGTTATGACTGGCAGACAACTAAAATCAAAAGCTTCCAAAGTCCATTGTTCCTATTCTTGGTCTTCTGTCTCTGCAACCCAATTACCAGCCAGAGTTAGGACACATTTATTATCTTCACTTTCGTTTGTTTCTTAAGTACAGTCGAGCTGCTTCTGAAGCACAGCAACCCTGCATAGGGTTTCCCTGGAGCAGCTGGTAGGTTTGAACCGCCAACCTTGCAGTTAGCAGTCCAATACTTAAGTCCTACAGTGCCACACTACGACTCCAATTATGTTCATTGGAAAAGTATGTTTTGTGACTGAGTTACATGCAAAAAGGTTAAAGTGACCATGGCTGTTATCCATGGCTGTTATCTAAAAAGTAAAATCCCAGTGGAAAACAAAAAGAAAAACTGAAATTTAAATGTACAAAATAGAGTATCCCAAAGCCATTCTTCATTATGTACATATCTTAAAATCATCTTCAAAGAAATTGCCAAGATAAAAGTTCTTTTCTCTGCCTTTAAAAAGAAGGGAAGTTACCTTTTCAGGTATGAAAACAAGACCCTGAAAGAAAATAATCAGGCAAGGAGAGTGAGCTCAAGGGCTCTGGGAATGAGCAAAGAAACAACCTGGAAAACCAAGGCCCTGAATGAAACTTTCTGCCTACAGTAGAGGAGATGTTTCACCCCAAATCTATTTCACCAGCTAGGAAAGACACTTCTGTGGCTACAAAAGAACCATGCATAAGCTCACAACAAATGCTGAAGGTCTGGATTCTTGATCTCTTCCCTGTGTGCATGACACAGACAGGCTGAGAGGCACCAGTGCTGCAGAAAGCAAAATTTCCCTTGTTTCCATTACATCACCCACGTTGGACAAGGGGAGGGGGAGCGGGGGCACAGCTGGTGGCAGCTGCACCACCATCTGCTTTCTCCTTAGCTGTGTGCACTAGGTTTGAGCTGCAGCCTCCTACAACTCCTGCGAGAGGAAGTGCAGTATTAAAGGCACAACACCTTATTATGGGAAAGCTTTCAGATTATATAGAAATAAATCACTCCCATGATAAGTTAACACTCTCAAGCAGGTTGCTGAGCCGGTTTTCTTTAGGTTTAAGTGATTTGTTTGCATCTCTTTAGACTCAGATACGATGTAAACTCTCAGCCCAACGGGCCCAATCAGACAAGCAGAATGGACAAGCAACCACCTGCCATCTGTCTCCCAAAAGGTAAGCAGTCAAATAGTACAGGTCTCTAGCTAGAAGTATTTAGGGGAGGCGTGGGGTCTGCCCAAGTCCAGCACACAAGCTCCACAAGTGCTGGGAATTCAATGCTGTCTTTAGCATTCCAAGCCATGTGGTCCACCAGCCTCATGCTCCTTGGCACTCCTGGGGTTTCCTTGAGAACACACTGCAGGGTGCCCTCTTGGAGAACAGCAAAAGTACCCGTAATGGGGCTAATGGCCAGTGAGGCCCTTCACCTGCAAACTGGCAGCAAAGCAGCAAACTGGTGGTTCAAGGGTTCAATCAAGCCCATGTACATGTTCTATCTGGCCTATACAGGGGCTATGGGGGAAAAATTAAACATTTCATATCAACATTTAGATTGCCATTTCAGGGGATGGGGCAGAGAGGGAGAGTTCAAGAGATACAGTGACACGAGGTTTCCATTCCTGTATGGCACCAGTTACCTGGAACTAAGCAGCAGTATTTCCTCTAAACGAGGTATACATCTGAGGAACTAGTCCCCACCATTCAGTATCAGCATATGTCACTGCACTGAGTGCTTTTGACATAACATTACTGAGCAGGTTAGCAGAAGAAGAAATCCCAGAGAATGATTTCCCAATGGTTCTTTACTTATTCTCCTCTTTAGTTGATATTTAAGTGTCTGCGTGACAAAATAAAATTCTCCAGACAAAGATCAGTCAAGTCAGTACAGTGAACGGATCACAGCAGAAGGCCAGCTATACAACCTACCCCTTCTTCAAAGCCTGTGAAACAAGCATTCCAGGCCAACTTACCATACATTTTGCCTTCGTCTGATAAGATGATTTTCCTCCTCCCACAAGGCGGATAGATAGCCAGGGCCTCCTGAAAGCTCTGCTCAATGTCGGGGCTCCAGACCCCTTCAGCATCATTGTCAATTGGCTTATCTGCAGAGTCACTCATCCTTTCCATGTTCTCGGCAGGGCTCTCGCTGCCGCTCCAGCTGCTGGGCTCAATTTTGGCGGTTGGGTTTTCCAAGCCAAAGCTTGGATCCTTTTCAAGAAAATAAACCTAAAAGAAAAATCACAAGACAGTATGATTAACAACAACATGGTATCCACAAACATACTGCTCTTGCTAACTCTCACACAAATTATTCACTCATCTACTTTGCTAGAGGAATCATTCTCGGCAGAGAAAATGGAATTTTGAGCTGTATGTGGCTTTCGTTTTCCATGTAGCCTTGGTAAGCACTCATAAAGAAATGCAACGGCAGGCAGAAGTCATGATAATTTTCCCAGATGAGAGGTAATTTTCATCCAAGAGCAGTACCCACTCTGAGTTGCAAATGTGCAGTGAATTATACAAAAACCATTTACTAAGCATGCAAACAGTGCTTGGCTTTAAACCGAACAGATCGGCAGTTCAAGTTCACCCAGAGATACCTTGGAAGAAAGATCTGGGGTTCTACTCCCAAAATATCAGCCACTGAAAACACCGTGGAGCACAATTCTACCTCCATGAGTCAGAACAGACTCAAAAGAAACCGGTTTTACTATCTAGCAGGTGTACTTGGCTCAATGGGAATCCAATGCAAGTACTAAAACAAGTTATTTACGAACAAATAAAGTAAAACAGAAGATGTCCTCCTCAGTGTGGTAACTGGCATCCTAACTCTGAAATGTCAAACCCTCCCAGTATTTAAACCTCCAAGATGCAAGATGGTGGCAGAATGAGGGGAAAGGGGAGAACAGGCAGATGACTTTGCCATCACAAATACTCACTCTACATATACTGCAAGCATGAGCTGGCCTGTACCTACTATCCTATCATATTTATCTCCTGGGCTTTTCCCTGTACAGCCTGGTCTCTTTTCCAGCCGCAACTTCTAGACTACAGCCTTGAAGCAGGGACCAACTTGTCCCTATTTCCTGCATTCCCAGGAACCTCTCTCATGAGTGCCTAAAATGTGTGAGGAAAAGTTCTATGCTTGCATGGGGTACTTCATTTCAGAACCTACTCTGCATTCCTCATCACATGACACTTGAGGAAGAATCTCTCATTTAGTTTTTCTGTATCCCTAAAGATCACAGAATGCAAAGAAATCTTTCTCAAATATTTATTCCCTTTAAATTATGCATGTAACCTAAGGTCATAAAGTGATAAGCTTTCAAAAAACAAATGTCAAACTGACATAACACCAATGTGAAAATGATCTAACCCAGTACTCCCTGCTGTCCAGCACACCAACATATCAATATTCCTTTGTTGAAAAGGCACTGATCATGAATTCAAAGGTTTCCCAAAAAAGGAAAGACAAAATGCTCCTGGGGATTCACTGAAAAGGAGAGGTTCTGGCCTGAGTTACTATGGCTTACTGTGACTATCATTCCTCCCCAAACTCTCACCTCAATACCATGCACATTACCACAGAGGCAACCAAGAAGGAAGCAAGTGCTTTTGGCCCCACACAGTACGAGAGCCACAGTACCATGTTCCCAGACAGTCAGTCCAGCAACCTGCCATCTTTTCTTCTCTCTCCCAAATGTATCTCATTCCCCTGAGCTCCCCTGCCTGTGTGGAGCAACAGATCCCAGGTGCAGAAACTCTGAGGCGCATGACCATTACATAATAAATGGTGTGACCCGTGGGTGCTTTTGGATTCCTATTCTGTCATCTTTTTAGATCTGCAGCATTTAGACAGAAGACACCTTCAGGTTGTCTTGTTTTTAAATGCTGCCACGAATCCATCATTCAAAGAATCGTCTGCAAAATATTTACTACGTATCTTACCAATACAGGCACATTTACATGGGACTTTTAAAATTGCCAAATGTAAAGCTATACTTTTTGCTACAAGAAAGGATTTTATGATTGTCCCCCAGATAAACCCCACAATGCCTGCAATGTGGCCATTTGAATTATCAAACAATAACACGTTTTGTTGGGACCCAAGAGACTTAAGAGTATAAACTGCAAGCTGAGTGCATTCTACCAGAGATTTGTTCTAGCTCCAAAGTAGTTTACTGGAAAACTTCTAAGAACACAAGCGAACATTTTGAGCAAATTTCCTCAAACATAACAAGACACATAATCAAAAAAAACAAAAAACAACACACACACGAGAGGCCAGTTGCTGAGTTTTGGGGAGTTCACAGAAGTATGAATTCACTTCAGGGAGTTACATTTAAGACAGACTCTGGGTGTGCCCACAATACGCCAGGAGGGTATAAGAAAGAAATAATGCCAGTGAGGACTAGCTGAAGGGACCAGGGGAGCTGAAACGAAAAAACTAAACTCATTGCTGTCAAATTGGTTCATGTTAACTCCATGGATGTCAGCATAGAGTCCATCCCTGATCTTTTGGTACTAGATTGGCAGGCCTTTCTTATGAGGTACCTTTGCTTTGGGTGGACTGGACCATCTAACTTTCAGTAACAAAGGAGCCTCCAAGGGAACTTAGGTCCGCTTAAAGGGCATTACCATGTAATTCTGTCTCCAGACCAAAACGCAGCAACACCCCACCCAATGCTTGATCCCTCTGAAACTTCTCACCAAAGGCAGACTGTGTATGTTTGAACATTACCAATTACAGGGAACTCAGTACCTTCTCGGTACCACCTGTCTTGAGACTGACACAGTGGAATTCTCCCAGCTATTTTGCTAAAACCAATCTCCCAACATATCCATTTAGATATGACAGGGGCTGCTCCAGGTCCCTGATTGCCTGTCTTGCACATTACACCATGCTTTTGCCCACCCCTTACGAATGAATGTATTCTGGTTTGTCCACAACCCTCAAATAAGTGACACTCAGAGATGGATTTATGGTTCAAAACTCTTCTAAATTCCTCTCTCTTTTCTACCTCTCTTATTGTGTACTTGAGCAATTGGTTTTGGAATTACAAGAGTTTAAATTGATTCCTATTAAATTCCATTATTTTTACCCTTTGCCATGGCCTAAACCTGGTAAGATCCTCCTGAATTATAATGCCAGAATTACTGTCATTAGACATTGACCAACCTCTGGAGAGCTGTGACAAAGACAGGGTGTCAACCCAATCTGTACAGTTACAAAGAAGATTCTTGTTCAACTTCCTACTAATTGATCTGTTCAAGAACAGGTGGGTTGCTTTATAAGACAGAAGAGTCTTTCAGACTACTCCTTCAAGTTACCTCTAAAGCTCAGAGTTGCAAGTCCTTGTTTGTCTGGAGAATGCAATATTCAGCAGCATTAACTGAGTGCCTGGTGAGCACAGACACTGCTCTAAGTGACACATGTTTTTATTCATTTACAGCAAAGGGAAGAATTCTGTGTCCAAGCTCTTGCAATGTGGTCAGCCGGAGCTCAGCAGAATGGAATTACCTACTCTGGACAAGAGCCAGGACACAGCCCCAGAAACTACCAGATACAGAATCCACAGAGTTATACAGGCCCTTGGTTTTACAATCCAATGGTAAGATGAGGCTCTGTATGGGCAGAGAGTTCCTGATCACAAGACTGGGGCTGGCTGAGAAGAACGCCTGTACTGGAGACCGAAATAACCATTCTGCCATTCCATCCTTCTAGTCCTTTCCAGCCCAGCTCAAAACCCTGGAAACAGTCCTGTATTCAGTGGCTCAGAGTATTGGCCTTGAGAGTATGCTAAAAATATATGTTGTTATAGTTGTTTTTGTTAAGTACCATGTGTTGATTCTGACTCATAGTGACCCTGTAAATCATTTCCAAGGAACAGTTGGTGGATTTGAAGCACTGACCTTACGGTTAACAGTCCTGTGCTGACCTTACAATGCCATCCCAGGACACCTAAAACTGTACAGAACTGATTAATTATCCCCCCCAGTCAATCTACCTGGCTTCTGAATTTATAGGAACAACCACTTGTTTAGTATGCTGTTGTTGCTGTCAGGTGCTGTTGAGTGGGTACCAACTCAGAGCAACATTATGCACAACACAATGAAACACTGTCTGGTTCTGCTTGTGTGGTCAACCTCACAATCATTGCTATGCTTGAGCCCACTGCTGCTTCCACTGTGCCAATCCATTTCGTTGGGAGTGTTCCGCTCTTTCGCTGACCCTCCACTTTACCAAGCATGATATCCTTTCTCCAGGGACTGGTCTCTCACTGATCCCTCCTGATACTATGGCCAAAGTATGAGATATGAAGTCTGGTCATCCTGGCCTCCAAGGAGCACTCTGGCTGTACTTCTTTCTACACAGATCTGTTGGTTCTTTTAACAGTCCATGGTACTTTCAATATTTTTCTCCAACACCATAACTCAAACACATCAATTCTTCCACAGTCTTCTTTATTCACTGTCTAACTTTCCCATGTATATAAGGTTACTAAAAATACCCTGGGGCTTGGGTCAGGCACACCTTAGTCCTCATACTGACATTTTTGCTCTTCAACACTTTAAAGAGGTCTTGTGCAGTACGTTTGCCTAATGCAATATGTCATTTGATTTCCTGACTCTTGCTTCCCTGAGTGCTGATACCTGAACCAAGCAAATTGAAGTCTTTGACAATTTCAATGTTTTCTCCATTTATATGGATGTTGTTTATTGGTCAAGTCGTGAGGATTTCTATTTTCTTCACACTGAGCTGCAACCCACACTGAAGACTGTGGTCTTTGATCTTCATCAGTAAGTATTTTAAGTCCTCTTCACTTTCAACAAGTAAGGTTGTATCATCTGCGTATCGCAGGTTGTTAATGAGTCTTCCTCCAATCCTGATGCCACGTTCTTCATACAATGCTGCTTCTTGGACTATTTCCTTAGTGAACAGATTGAATGAATATGGTGAAATAACAACCCTGGCACACAACTCTCATTTTAAACCATTTTTTTGAAAATAAGACCTTAATCAAGGGAATTATATATAGAATATCTGTCCAAATAGCTAATGTCCTCACCGCACCAAATATCCTTTGAGTAGATCAGTCAATGATAGTTCAATTCCATAAATAATAAGAACACAGGACTGGGGGCCATCGGGGACAGGGACGGAGGTATCTACAATCATACTGATCTGGGTCCAAACCCAGGTCACCATCATGCAGCCCTGACTAACTTAAT